TCTCAAAGGAAGGCAAGAGGATGAGATTATTTAAGGAGTGAGTAGAGATAAAGAGATATTCCAAATATTCCAAACATTTATAGATCTGGGAATATAAGAATGAACAAGCAAGAGATGGAGTGGCCAGGGAGGTTTATATGGGAAATGGTGTCCTCAGGAGAGAACTGAGTCCCAGAGCAAGGAGATGAAGATTCTGAGAAAAGTTTGAGATACAGTGAATCTTTTCCACAGGGCATTTGCGAGGATGGAGGAAGGATTTGAGAGGAAGGAGGAGGTGACAGCTGGGCATATGGTCTAGAAATTAGGGCTCGTATAGTCTACGGGATGTACAGACCATATGGGATAGGAGTCTCTTTATCCACGGCTGTCCTGGACTTCTTATGGTGACTAAACAGGAATGAAGAGAGTGATGGTTTAATCCAGATGATTTCAAAAGGTGACCATGTCCAGACATGGTAGTTTTGGTGAAGCTGAGAGTTTGGAGGAATAGAGACAGAGGGATAAGTATCTTTCCAGCAGCATACAGAGCTTTGAGGGTTCAATGAGATGAGAAAGGAAAGGGCTAGACCAGGATGGGGGACATAAGAAACATTCAGCAAGTGTTAGCTATAGATTTCCATATTATCTGACTCGTTTGCCCATACACACTCCTTTACCTGCCCTATAAAAGGTGGAGTTCCACAAGGCTTGGCTGGAGACCCCCTTCGCTCACTCTTTGCCTCATTAACTCCTGCTCAGCCTATAGTTATCAATTAAATGATTCTTCCTTAGGAAAGCTTTCTGTGCATCTCTTAGACCAGGTCAAGTTCTCTCCATTTTGTATCTGAAAGTACTTTATTCCATTCTTTCATGGCAGTTAACTGTTTATAGCTAGGAGCTTATTTGTGTGATTATATATAATGTCTCTCTTTCACGCTAAATGTTAAACTTCTTCAGGGCAGGGACTGTACATCACTTTGTTTACCTTTATTTCCCCATACTGTGCTTGGCACATAACAGGCACTTAGAAATAACTATTAATTAGTAAAGGAGAGAATGGATAAGGGGAAGGTAAGGTTGTATGTCCTTGCAGTATCGGTCATATTCTTTCTTCCTCTTCCATTTAAAAAATTCAGTCACTCCCCAATAATCTTTGTCAAGTCATTAACCAGAATAAATATATGATCCTCATAGTTATGGCTCCAATCTAATACTTTCAATAAAATACTTGACACATTCAAAATAAGAAAGTCCTTGAACATTATTTAATGCATAATTGCAGCTTTCAAGCACCTTTCTTCCTCTTCCATTTAAAAAATTCAGT